TGTCCCACAGATTTACACAAAACCACCGATTTGTCCCTGAAAATGTCCCAGTGTCTGATCCAACAACAGCAAAAACAAACACAAAAACTGAACTTTGTTTGTGTAAAATACAGAAAATCTGTTTAAAATCGACAAAAACCCAAAGAAAATGTGACTCGTTGTGACATTTCGATGTGATTGATTCTTTACAAACTCGTTTTACATTTTTATTTTTACCCACAAACACAAAACAGAAACGTATCAGTTTGTGATTTGTTTATTTTGTTTATTTGTTTGTCCAAAAAAGAAGAAGGTGATAAAGTCAAATATGAATCTCCAGAAAAACAAACAAAAAACTAAAAAAGTTTGTTAAATTGTGTTTCCTCTGTTTGGAGATTAAAGCTTCATTCCGTCACTTTCCCGGCAGGTGCGCTCCTGCCCGTCGTCTCCGTGTTCAGAATGTTCCGCACTGTGGCTTTAAAGAAGAACGAGGCGTTCGAGGACTCGGTTAAAGTCGCACTCTGGAACTTTCCGGGTCAAGTCAAGATTTTTCCACAGAAGCAGAAAAAGTGACACAGTGAAGCTTTAAAACTCGTTTCACCGTCTCCTGTTTCATGTTCAGGTTTTACTTTTACTTGAGTAACTGTACTTTTACTCCTACTGCAGTAATATTGTTATTGATGTAACAGTACTTTTACTCGAGTAATCTACAGTACACAGTAACAGTACTCGAGTAATCTATAGTACACAGTAATAATACTTTTACTCGAGTAATCTATAGTACACAGTAATAATACTTTTACTCGAGTAATCTATAGTACACAGTAATAATACTTTTACTCGAGTAATCTATAGTACACAGTAACAGTACTTTTACTCGAGTAATCTATAGTACACAGTAAGTACTTTTACTCGAGTAATCTATAGTACACAGTAACAGTACTTGTACTCGAGTAATCTATAGTACACAGTAACAGTACTTGTACTCGAGTAATCTATAGTACACAGTAACAAGTACTTGTACTCGAGTAATCTATAGTACACAGTAACAGTACTTTTAACTCATAGTACTCGAGTAATCTTATAGTACTCACAGTAATATACTTTTACTCGAGTAATCTATAGTACACAGAATATACTACGAGTAATCTATAGTACACAGTAATAATACTTTTACTCGAGTAATCTATAGTACACAGTAATAATACTTTACAGTAGTATAAAGTACTTTACTCGAGTAATCTATAGTACACAGTAATACTACTTACTACACAGTAATCTAAGTAACTATAGTACACAGTAACTTTTACTCGAGTAATCTATAGTACACAGTAGTAATACTTTTACTCGAGTAATCTATAGTACACAGTAACAGTACTTGTACTTCAGGTCTGGTTCAGTTTTTGTCTCGTTCAATAATAAACCAGACGCCTCGACAGATACTTTTACTTATAAGTTACTCTGACTCCAGGAGTACTTTTACCAAATATTTTTTTACTCTTACTTAAGTCATGTTTTTTTACTTTTACTTAATGTTTTACTTGAGTAACATTATTTAAATCCTGTTCCTCTTCACTGAGCTCAGAACTTGAGACTCAGACTCTTCTGCTCTGGTCCTGCTCACACTGGAACTGTGTCCCCTGTCCCTGTCCCTGTCCCCTGTCCTGTCCCTGTCCTGTCCCTGTCCCCTGTCCCTGTCCCTGTCCCCTGTCCCTGTCCCTGTCCCTGTCTGTCCCTGTCCCTGTCCTGTCCCTGTCCCCTGTCCCTGTCCCTGTCCTGTCCCTGTCCCTGTCTGTCCCTGCCTGTCCCTGTCTGTCCCTGTCCTGTCCCCTGTCCCCTGTCCTGTCCCCTGCTGTTCCCCTGTCCCTGTTCCCTGTCCCCCTGTCCCTGTCCCTGTCCCCTGTCTGTCCCTGTCCCTGTCCCTGTCCCTGTCCCTGTCCCCCTGTCCCTGTCCCTGTCCCTGTCCCTGTCCCTGTCCCTGTCCCTGTCCCCCTGTCCCTGTCCCTGTCCTGTCCCTGTCCTGTCCTGTCCTGTCCCTGTCCCTGTCCCTGTCCCTGTCCTGTCCCTGTCCCTGTCCCTGTCCCTGTCCTGTCCCCCTGTCCTGTCCCTGTCCCTGTCCCCCTGTCCCTGTCCCTGTCCCCTGTCCCTGTCCCTGTCCCTGTCCCTGTCCCTGTCCCCTGTCCCCTGTCCCCTGTCCCCTGTCCCCTGTCCCTGTCCCCTGTCCCTGTCCCTGTCCCTGTCCCTGTCCCCTGTCCCCTGTCCCCTGTCCCCTGTCCCTGTCCTGTCTCTGTCCCTGTCCTGTCCCTGTCCCTGTCCCTGTCCCTGTCCCTGTCCTGTCCCTGTCCCCCCCTGTCTGTCCCCTGTCCCCTGTCCCTGTCCCCTGTCCCTGTCCCTGTCCTGTCCCCTGTCCCCTGTCCCTGTCCCTGCCTGTCTGTCCCTGTTCCCCTGTCCTGTCCTGTCCTGTGCCCCTGTCTGTCCCTGTCCCTGTCCTGTCTCTGTCTCTGTCCCTGTCCCTGTCCCTGTCCCTGTCCTGTCCTGTCTGTCCTGTCCTCTGTCCCTGTCCCTGTCCCCTGTCCTGTCCTGTCCTGTCCTGTCCCCTGTCCTGTCCCCCTGTCCCTGTCCCTGTCCCTGTCCCTGTCCCTGTCCCTGTCCCCTGTCCCCTGTCCCTGTCCCTGTCCCTGTCTCTGTCTCTGTCCCCTGTCCCTGTCCCCTGTCTGATCTGTCTGTCCCCTGTCCCTGTCCCTGTCCCCTGTCCCTGTCTCTGTCCCTGTCCCTGTCCCTGTCCCTGTCCCTGTCTGTCCCTGTCCCTGTCCCTGTCTGTCCCCTGTCCCCTGTCCCCTGTCCCCTGTCCCCTGTCCCTGTCCCCTGTCCCCTGTCCCCCTGTCCCTGTCCCTGTCCCTGTCCCCTGTCCCTGTCCTGTCCTGTCCCTGTCCCTGTCCCTGTCCCTGTCCCTGTCCCCTGTCCCTGTCCCTGTCCCTGTCCTCCCTGTCCCCCTGTCCCTGTCCCTGTCTGTCCCTGTCCCCTGTCCCCTGTCCTGTCCCTGTCCCTGTCCCTGTCTCCTGTCCCCTGTCCCCTGTCCCTGTCCCCTGTCCCTGTCCCCTGTCCCTGTCCCCTGTCCCCTGATCCCTGTCCCTGTCCTGTCCTGTCCCTGTCCCTGTCCCTGTCCCCTGTCCTGTCCCTGTCCCCTGTCCCTGTCCCTGTCCCTGTCCCTGTCCCTGTCCCTGTCCCTGTCCCTGTCCCTGTCCCTGTCCTGTCCCTGTCCCTGTCCCCTGTCCCTGTCCCTGTCCCTGTCCCTGTCCCTGTCCCTGTCCCCTGTCCCTGTCTGTCCCTGCCCTGTCCCTGTCTCTGTCCCTGTCCTGTCTCTGTCCCTGTCCCCTGTCCCCTGTCCCTGTCCCCTGTCCCTGTCCTGTCCCTGTCCCTGTCTCCTGTCCTGTCCCCTGTCCCCTGTCCCCTGTCTCCCTGTCCCCCCTGTCCCTGTCCCTGTCTGTCCCCTGTCCCCCTGTCTCTGTCCCTGTCCCCTGTCCCTGTCTGTCCCTGTCCCCCCTGTCCCCTGTCCCTGTCCCTGTCCCTCTGTCCCCTGTCCCTGTCCCTGTCCCCTGTCCCCTGTCCCTGTCCCTGTCCCTGTCCCTGTCCCCTGTCCCTGTCCTGTCTCTGTCTCTGTCCCCTGTCCCCTGTCCCTGTCCCCTGTCCCCTGTCTGTCCCTGTCTCTGTCCCTGTCCCTGTCCCCTGTCCCTGTCCCTGTCTCTGTCCCCTGTCCCTGTCCCTGTCCCCTGTCCCTGTCCCTGTCCCTGTCCTGTCTGTCTGTCCCCTGTCCCCTGTCCCTGTCCCTGTCTGTCCTGTCCCTGTCCCTGTCCCTGTCCCTGTCCCTGTCCCTGTCCCTGTCCCCTGTCCCCTGTCCCTGTCCCTGTCCCCTGTCCCCTGTCCCCTGTCCCCTGTCCCCTGTCCTGTCCCCTGTCCCCTGTCCCCTGTCCTGTCCCCTGTCCCCTGTCCCTGTCTGTCCCTGTCCCTGTCTGTCCCCCCCCCTGTCCCTGTCCCCTGTCCCTGTCCCTGTCCCTGTCCCCGGGACACGTCCAGACCCTGTCCCTGTCCCTGTCCCTGTCCCCTGTCCCCTGTCCCCTCTGTCCCTGTCCTGTCTCTGTCTGTCCTGTCCCTGTCCCTGTCCCCTGTCCCTGTCCCCTGTCCCTGTCCCTGTCCCTGTCCCCTGTCCCTGTCCCCCCTGTCCCCTGTCCCTGTCCCTGTCCCCTGTCCCTGTCCCCTGTCCCCTGTCCCTGTCCCTGTCCCTGTCCCTGTCCCCTGTCCCTGTCCCCTGTCCCTGTCCCCTGTCCCTGTCCCCCTGTCCCTGTCCGTCCCCTGTCTGTCCCTGTCCCTCTGTCCTGTCCCTGTCCCTCCTGTCCCTGTCCTGTCCCTGTCCCTGTTCCTGTCTCTGTTCCTGTCCCCTGTCTGTCCCTGTCTCCTGTCCCCCTGTCCCTGTCCCCTGTCCCCTGTCCCTCTGTCCCTGTCCCCTGTCCCCTGTCCCTCTGTCCCTGTCCCTGTCCTGTCCTGTCCTGTCCCCTGTCCCTGTCCCTGTCCCTGTCCCCTGTCTGTCCTGTCCCCTGTCCCTGTCCCTCTGTCCCCTGTCTCCCTGTCCCTGTCCCCTGTCCCTGTCTCCTGTCCCTGTCCCTGTCCCTGTCTCCCTGTCCTGTCCCTGTCCCTGTCCCTGTCCCTGTGTCCCTGTCCCTGTCCCTGTCCCTGTCTGTCCCTGTCCCCTGTCCTCCCTGTCCCCTGTCCCTGTCCTGTCCCTGTCCCTGTCCCCTGTCTGTCCTGTTCCCTGTCCCTGTCCTGTCTGTGTCCCTGTCCCTGTCCCTGTCCCCTGTCCCCTGTCCCCTGTCTCTGTCCCTGTCCCTGTCTGTCTCTGTGTCTCTGTGTCTCTTGTCTCTTGTCTCTGTGTCTCCCGGGACACGGTGTGCGCGTGTGCGCGGGCGCTAGGGGGCGCTGTGTCGCGCGCATCCCGGGGACGCGCCGGGGCCTGACGGGAATGTTGCTCCATTCTTCCTCCCTCCTCACAACATGGCGGCCTAACGCAGCGCAGCGCCCGAGCCCGCGACGCACCGTGGATTTACCCCGCGCACGAGCCGCGCAGGAGCCGCTCAGCCCCGCGAGACCAGCCCCGAACCCCCCCGCCGGAACCGGGCCGGGGCGTGGACCGCAGCCCGGCCGCTCCGGAGCCGAGCCCCCGCCGCGCGCGGCCCGAGGAACCGAAGACAAGAGCCGCGCGCCCTGCTCCGTCCCGCGGCCCCCTCCTCCTCCGCCGATCCCGGGGTGTGGAGCCGAGCGGAGCCGAGGCAGAGCGGGGCCGAACCGCGCCGGACCGGACCGAGGCGCGCTCCTGCCGCCGCCGCCGCCGCCCGCCGCGCCTCTGCGCGCGCCCCCCGGAGTTCGGATCCGCGCGGTGAGTCTCCGGTTCGTCCGCGGCGCGTGACGGAGCCACAGAGCCACAGAGCCACACTTGTTACGGCCGTGCGCGCGCGTTTCCTCCGTCACGCACGCGCCTCACAGTCTGCGTTTGTGCCCCCCCCCCGCACGCGCGCTCACACTCACGCACGCGCACGGTTCGAACATGACGCGAGGCTCCAGAACCAGGCCGCGTCACGACGAACCGCGCGCGCCGCTTTGTGTCCGAACCGCGCGTCCTCAGAAACAACAACAAAACAACAACAAAACAACAACAACAAAACAACACAACAACAAAACACTTTTCCTCTGCGCAGCTCAAACTGTTTTCTTTTTCTTTCTTTTTTTTGTTTTTTTTTTTTCTGACGAGATTTGAGCTTCACGAGGTTCAACTCTTGACTCCAGATGTGAAGCCCGAGGGACTTTTACACTTCTACACTTTTACACTTTTACACTTTTACACTACACTTCTACACTTTTACACTTTTACACTTTTACACTTTTACACTTTTACACTTTTACACTTTACACTTTTACACTTTTACACTTTTACACTTTTACACTTTTACACTTTTGTTCAGTTTTGTTCAGGTTTTGTTCAGTTTTGTTCAGTTTTGTTCAGGTTTTGTTCAGTTTTGTTCAGTTTTGTTCAGTTTTGTTCAGGTTTTGTTCAGTTTTGTTCAGTTTTGTTCAGGTTTTGTTCAGTTTTGTTCAGTTTTGTTCAGGTTTTGTTCAGTTTTGTTCAGTTTTGTTCAGTTTTGTTCAGGTTTGTTCAGGTTTTGTTCAGTTTTGTTCAGTTTTGTTCAGTTTTGTTCAGTTTTGTTCAGTTTGTTCAGTTTTGTTCAGTTTTTGTTCAGTTTTGTTCAGTTTTGTTCAGGTTTTGTTTTGTTCAGTTGTTCAGGGTTTTGTTCAGTTTTGTTTCAGGTTTTGTTCAGTTTTGTTCAGTTTTGTTCAGGTTTGTTCAGTTTTGTTCAGGTTTTGTTCAGGTTTTGTTCAGTTTTGTTCAGTTTTGTTCAGGTTTCGGGTGTTTTCTTGTCGGTGTTTCTCCTCGGCGCAGCGGGGCTCCGGGGACTCGAGGCCGGGGGACGTGACGCGGTCCCGGGGCGGAGGGAGCGGAGGCCCCGGGACCGACTGAGACTCACAGGGTTCTGTTGTAGTCTGTTTGTTCTGTTGTATGTCCTGGTTTTAGTCCGTTTAGTCCTGTTGTAGTCCTTGTCCTGGTTTAGTCCTGTTGTAGTTCCTGTTTAGTCCTGGTTTAGTCCTGTTGTAGTCCTGGTTTAGTCCTGTTTTAGTCCTGGTTTAGTCCTGTTGTAGTCCTGGTTTAGTCCCTTGTTAAATCCTGGATTAGCCCTAGTTCACACCTGGTTTAGTCCTGGTTTATTCTTTGTTTAGTCCCTGGTTTAGTCCTGGTTTAGTCCTGGTTTAGTCCTGTTGTAGTCCTGGTTTAGTCCTGGTTTAGTCCTGGTTTAGTCCTGTTGTAGTCCTGGTTTAGTCCTGGTTCTAGTCCTGGTCTAGTCCTGGTTTAGTCCTGGTCTAGTCCAGGTCTAGTCCAGGTCTGGTGTTGGGGTTTGGACCAGGACCAGGTCTCAGGTCTGGACTGGTTCAGGGGGAGTCTGGTCCTGTTTGGGTCTGAAGGAGGAAGAGGAGGAGCACTTCCTGTATCACCACCTGATGACATCACCAGGTGGAGCAGAGTGTTTTCTGTCTGGTTTGTGACTGAAACAAAACTTAACGTTGGAAAAAGAAGTCGCTGTTTTCTGATCTGTGTTATTAAATAAACACCTGGTGATGTCATCAGGTGGTGATACAGGAAGTGCTCCTCCTCTTCCTCCTTCAGACCCAAACAGGACCAGACTCCCCCTGAACCAGTCCAGACCTGAGACCTGGTCCTGGTCCAAACCCCAACACCAGACCTGGACTAGACCTGGACTAGACCAGGACTACACCAGGACTAAACCAGGACTAAACCAGGACTAAACCAGGACTAAACCAGGACTAAACCAGGACTAAACCAGGGACTAAACCAGGACTAAACCAGGACTAAACCAGGACTAAACCAGGAACTGACAACCAGGACTAAACCAGGACTAAACCAGGACTAAACCAGGACTAAACCAGGACTCTAAACAAGGACTAAACAAGGACTAAACCAGAACTAAACCAGGTCTAAACCAGGACTAAACAAGGACTAAACCAGGTGTGAACTAGGGCTAATCCAGGATTTAACAAGGGACTAAACCAGGACTAAACCAGGTCTAATCCAGGACTAAAACAGAACTAAACCAGAACTAAACCAGAACTAAACCAGGACTAAACCAGGACTAATGGATTTAGCCCCAAATGTGAAAACAGTAAAATCTCTCTGTTTAATCCATTTATTTGAACAAAGTAACTGTAATCCAATTCCCACTCACTGAAACAGTAACTGTAACTGAATACAGTTACTCATCATTTGTACTCTGATTACTCTGGTACTTGTAATCTGTTACTCCTCGACACTGCAGGTCAAAATAAGACGACCAAGTAAAAATCAAAGCCTGTTCCTTTGTCTGGACTCGGCCGTTTTCTCTTTATTTTTTTTTTTTTTTTCGTTTGACGGGTTTGGAGTCATAAATATCCTAAAGCTGCACTCTGTAACTTTTCTGTCAGCTGCTCGTTTCTACGGAGACGTCGCCACGCTGCCTGGAATGTTCCGCAGTGTGACTTTATAAACAGCTCTAACTTAACATTTATTTGGTTCCAGCTGGATTTAGAGCTCAAAAAAAAAAAAAAAAAAGTAAATAAAAATCTCTCGAAAAACTCACATTGTGACAGAGCGGGCTCGCCTCTCCGCGGATCTGACCACACAAACGTCACGCAGTGCGGCTTTAAAAACGAAAAAAACTAACCGAGCAGTATTTTCGTTGCTATTGTTACAGAAAAGTGCAAAGGCTGTGGTTTAGACCTGGTTTAGTCCTGGTTTAGTCCTGGTTTAGACCTGGTTTAGTCCTGGTTTAGTCCTGGTTTAGACCTGGTTTAGACCTGGTTTAGACCTGGTTTTAGTTCTGGTTTAGTCCTGGTTTAGTCCTGGTTTAGTCCTGGTTTTAGTCCTGGTTTAGACCTGGTTTAGTCCTGGTTTAGTCCTGGTTTAGTCCTGGTTTAGTCCTGGTTTAGACCTGGTTTAGTTCCTGGTTTTAGTCCTGGTTTAGTCCTGGTTTAGTCCTGGTTTAGTTAGTCCTGGTTTAGTCCTGGTTCAGTCCTGGTTTAGTCCTGGTTTAGTCCTGGTTTAGTCCTGGTTTAGTCCTGGTTTAGTCCTGGTTTAGTCCTGGTTTAGTCCTGGTTTAGTCCTGGTTTAGTCCTGGTTTAGTCCTGGTTTAGTCTTTTATTTTGGAAAAGTTCTTTATTTTCGTTTTATTTTGACAGAGTTTTGAGGCGATTAAAGCTTCACTCTGTCACTTTTCCTGGTGGAGGCCGCGGCGGTGTTTCCGTTGCTACGGTTACGAAATGAACCGAGACAGAAAAAGCGCAGAGTCTCGTCGTCGGGATCTGCACGGACTTGACCTGAAATGTGATTCTTGTTTTATTCCGTCCATTTTTCCGGACGAGTTTAAACCTGAAACTTTGAGCAGAAACGAAAGCAGGAAAAACTCAGATCTGACGTTTCCTCGGACGTTTCCTCGGCGTCCGGACGGCGGACGTCCGGACGTTTCGCCTCGCCTCGTCTCGCGCGTCCGGACGTTTCCTCGCCTCGTCTCGGCGTCCGGACGTTTCCTCGCCTCGTCTCGGCGTCCGGACGTTTCCTCGTCTCGGCGTCCGGACGTTTCCTCGTCTCCGTCCGGACGTTTTTCACCTCGTCTCGGCGTCCGGACGTTTCCTCCTCGTCTCGGCGTCCGGACGTTTCCTCACCTCGTCTCCGCATCCGGACGTTTCCCGCCTCGTCTCGGCGTCCGGACGTTTCCCGCCGACGAGTGTTTGTTCAGAGTTAAACCCGGGATCAGGTCTGGACCTCGGAGACGCTGCGGTCGGAGTCTGGAGTTTCAAAACCGGAACCTCGCCCAAAGATCTGAGGTGACGAAACACACGCTCTGAGAAATCTGAGACCGAGAAGAGACCGGAACAAGACCAGGAAGAGACCGGAACAAGACCAGAGACTGAAGCGAGACTGAAGCAAGACCGGAGCGAGACCGGAGAGACTGGAGTGAGACCGGAACAAGACGGGAGCAAGACCAGGATGAGACCAGAGTTGGACCGTAACAAGACCATGACGAGACCAGAGCGAAACTGGGGAAAGACCTGAGTGAGACTGGAGCGAGACCATAACGAGGACGGAGCAAGACCGGAGTTGGACCGGAGTTGGACCGGAGTTGGACCGGAGTTGGACCGGAGTTGGACCGGAGTTGGACCGGAACGAGACCAAAACGAGAACGGACCTCATTTAAGATCTTTATAAATCCAAACCCTCCAAAATAAAACACTACAATAACTCTGTCCTGTTAAAGAGCCTGGTTTAGTCCTGGTTTAGACCTGGTTTTAACTGGTTTAGTCCTGGTTCAGTCCTGGTTTAGTCCTGGTTTAGTCCTGGTTTAGTCCTGGTTTAGTCCTGGTTTAGTCCTGGTTTAGTCCTGGTTTAGTCCTGGTTAGTCCTGGTTTAGTCCTGGTTTAGTCCTTAGTCCTGGTTTCAGTCCTGGTTTAGTCCTGGTTTAGTCCTGGTTTAGTCCGTTTAGTCCTGGTTTAGTCCTGGTTTAGTCCTGGTTTAGTCCTGTTAGTCCTGGTTTAGTCCTGGTTTCAGTCCTGGTTCAGTCCTGGTTTAGTCCTGGTTTCAGTCCTGGTTTAGTCCTGGTTTAGTCCTGGTTTAGTCCTGGGTCCTTTCAGTCCTGGTTTAGTCCTGGTTTAGTCCTGGTTCAGTCCTGGTTAGTCCTGGTTTAGTCCTGGTTCAGTCCTGGTTTAGTCCTGGTTTAGTCCTGGTTCAGTCCTGGTTCAGTCCTGGTTCAGTCCTGGTTTAGTTCCTTGGTGTTTTTTGACTCTTAAATCCTCCTGCGACTGAATAAACGTAAAGTGGATCTGTTTAAAGTCACACTGCGGAACATTCCGGACAGAGCGGTGACGTCTCCATGGAAACGAGCGCAGAGTTTGATGTGTGAGCGGCGTGGGCGGCGTGGGCGGCGGCGGCGGCGGTGATGAGGGTTTAACGGTTTTACGTGGGTTTATTTGCTCTTAACAGACTCAGACTCAGATTATCTGGATTAACACGTTTTACTCACTGCACTTTTCAACATAATCCACAGACCGAGGTCCAAGCACCACCCGCCTGGACCGGGCCTGGACCGGGCCTGGACCGGGCCTGGACCGGGCCTGGACCGGGCCTGGACCGGGTCTGGACCGGGTCCTGGACCGGGCCTGGACCGGCCTGGACCGGGTCCTGGACCGGGCCTGGACCGGGCCTGGACCGGGCCTGGACCGGGTCTGGACCGGGTTTTGGACCAGGTGTAGATCGGGTTTGGACCGGTTTTCGGCCACGTTTGGACCGGGTTTAGACCGGGTTTGGACCACGTTTGGACCGGGTTTAGTCTTGATGTAGGTCTAATTTAGTCCTGGTTTAGACCTGTTTTAGACATGGTAGTTAGATTTATGTTAGTCCTGGTTTAGTCCTGGTTTAGTCCTGGTTTAGTCCTTGTTTAGTCCTGGTTTAGTCCTGATGTAGTCCTGGTTTAGTCCTGGTTTAGTCCTGGTTTAGTCCTGGTTTAGTCCTGCTTTAGTCCTGTTTAGTCCTGGTTTAGTCCTAGTCCTGGTTTAGTCCTGCTTTAGTCCTGTTTAGTCCTGGTTTAGTCCTGGTTTAGTCCTGGTTTAGTCCTGGTCCTGGATGTTTCTTTTATATTTAGATTTTTATTTTAAAGCCGTTCTTTAAATCAGAACTGTTTTTTCCGTTTTCCGTAAATTGAATCTTTTCCGTCTTTTCCGTGCGTCTGCGTGAATAAACGTGAATAAACGTGAATAAACGTGAATAAACGTGAATAAACGTGAATAAACGTGGATAAACGTGGATAAACGTGAATAAACGTGAATAAACGTGAATAAACGTGGATAAACGTGAATAAACGTGAATAAACGTGGATAAACGTGAATAAACGTGAATAAACGTGGATAAACGTGGATAAACTCTCGAGCGCTCGGTTTGTTGATCCTGAATAAAAATCCAAAGTAAAAGTGACGTTTTTGTTTTTTTTCTCTTTTTCTTTCAGGATCAGTGCGAGCGAATGACTGAGTGAGACTCCGCCTCCTCCAGGTAAAACTCACCTCATTTACATATCGCCATGACGACCTCTGTCCGTCCGTGTGTTTACGTCGTCATCTGCGTCACGTGACCATCTGTGACGCGCTCGGGGGCGTTCACCGTCGACAGTGTTGGGAAGTTTACTTTTAAAATGTAATCCCCTACAGATTACAGATTACATATCCCAAAATGTAGTTTGTAACAGAATCCATTAAATTACTTAAAGTGAGTAATGTAATCTGATTACTTTGAATTACTTGATTTGTTGTAGAGAAACAAAGACGAGGAAATCTTCACGTAAGAAGTTTTGTTTGATAAAAGAAAATAAAAAGTCCAAACTTTACTGAATCAAATTAAAAATATTATTGATAGAAAACGAAGAAACACGTCCACACAGCAGGATTTAGTCCTGGTTTAGACCTGGTTTAGTCCTGGTTTAGTCCTGGTTTAGTCCTGGTTTAGTCCTGGTTTAGTCCTGGTTTAGTCCTGGTTTAGTCCTGGTTTAGACCTGGTTTAGTGTCCGGCAATGAGTGGAACTACCGAGAAAAAGGAAAAAAAAAAAGGAATTTAGCCCCAAATGTGAAAACAGTTAAAATCCCTCTGTTTAATCCATTTATTTCAACAAAGTAACTGTAATCCAATTACCACTCACTGAAACAGTAACTGTAATTGAATACAGTTACTTATCATTTGTACTCTGATTACTCTGGTACTTGTAATCTGTTACTCCCCAACACTGCCGGTCGTGTTTGGGCTCCACGGACTCTGGCTCCGGTTCAGTTTTTGTGGAGTTTGGATGGAAACATTTTGTCCCCGAGTCCAGATCTGAACTTTAATAACGGACCAATCAGACGCCTTCTTTCCCCGAGGCCCCGCCCACTAGTGTTAGCAACAGGTTTGATTGACAGCGTCGCTACGGAAGGGGCGTTACCTTCAGCAGCCTCGCTCCTGATTGGCTCTTTGGTTGCTCTGATCGGAATTCCAGATGGAGATTTTATTTGCACACATTCATGTTTTTATTTGTGCTTTTTTGTTTTTAATTAATGTTTTTATTCTTCTTTTAATTCTTGGTTTTATTTTGTTTTTTTATTTGTGTTTTTAATTTATGTTTTTATACATATTTTTAGTCTTGTTTGTATTTTAATTTGTGCTTTTCTTGTTTTTAATTCATGTTTCTATTAGTTTTTTAATCATATTTTTGTCGAGTTTTTAATTCATGTTTTTATTTGCATGTTTTTGTTAATGTTTTTTTTTATTTGTTTTTCTATTTTGTGTTTTTATTGGTGTTTTTTATTAGTGTTTTAATTTTTTTTATTTTTATACATATTTTTAGTTTTGTTTTTATTCATGTTTTTATTAGCTTTTCTTGTTTTTTATTCGTTTTTTATTTGAATTTTTTGTTTTTAATTCATGTTTTTATTTGTGTTTTTTTTATTCATGTTTCAGTTTGTTTTTTTATTTGTTTTTAAATTTTTTGTTTTTATTCTTGTTTTTATACATATTTTTAGTTTAGTTTTTTTTTTTTTTTGCTTTTCTTGTTTTCGATGTTTGTTTGTGTTTTTTATTCGTGTTTTTGTCTAGTTTTTACTCATGTTTTTATTTGTGTTTTTTATTTGTTCTTTTCTTGTTTTTATTTCATGTTTTTAGTCATGTTTTCTTCTTCTGTTGTTTCAGGGCAGGATGGGTGAGAGCGCCCTCCTCCTGCTGCTGCTGCTGCTGCAGGGGGCCACGGCTCAAGACCCCAACTCAGACTCAGGTACAGACCTCCAGTAGTCCGGGTTTAGTCCTGGTTTAGTCCTGGTTTAGTTGCTGGTTTAGTCCTGATTTAGTCTTGGTTTAGTCCGGGTTTAGTCCTGGTTTAGACCTGGTTTAGTCCTGGTTTAGTCCTGGTTTAGTCCTGGTTTAGACCTGGTTTAGATCTTAAACCGGTCTTTCTCGTGTCTTTTCCCTCAGGTCCGTCTGTCGCCTCCACAGCGCCTCCTGACTCCGCCCCCTTCGTCACGGATGTCACTCTGGCTCCTCCCACTCCCACAGCCCCGCCCACCTCGCCCCCTCTGACCACGCCCACCGGCACCACGGCCACGCCCACCGCCGCCCCCCCTCCGGACCCCCCCTCCCCCACCCAGAACGACTCTACGTGGGTGCTCCCGGTACCTCCCGCTCCCCCTTCAGAGCAGCCCTCCCCTGCCCCTCCGCCCGCCCCGACCCCGGCGCCCGCCCCGACCCCGGCGCCCGCCCCGACCCCGGCGCCTAACCCCGCCCCCGACCCCGACCCGGGCACCCCGGGGCCCCCCCAGGTCACAGGGAGCACCCCCGCCCACCACAGACCCGCCCCCCTCGGCCCCGCCCACCACCGACCCGGACGACGAGGGCGACGTGTACTTCACCATCGAGGCCGAGACCACGCCCATCCCCGGGCCTGAGTTCACCTCACACACCACGCCCCACGGTAAGACCCGACTAGACCGGGTTTAGGCCGGGTTTAGACCGAGTTTAGACCGGGTTTAGGCCGGGTTTAGACCGAGTTTAGACCGAGTTTAGACCAAGTTTAGACCAAGTTTAGACCGTGTTTAGACCGTGTTTAGACCGTGTTTAGACCGTGTTTAGACCGAGTTTAGACCGAGTTTAGACCGAGTTTAGACCGAGTTTAGACCGAGTTTAGACCGAGTTTAGACCGAGTTTAGACCGAGTTTAGACCGAGTTTAGACCGAGTTTTTAGACCGTGTTTAGACCATGTTTAGACCGAGTTTAGACCGAGTTTAGACCGAGTTTTAGACCGTGTTTAGACCGAGTTTAGACCGTGTTTAGACCGTGTTTAGACCGAGTTTAGACCGAGTTTAGACCGAGTTTAGACCGAGTTTTAGACCGAGTTTAGACCGAGTTTAGACCGAGTTTAGACGAGTTTAGACCGGGTTTAGACCGGGTTTAGACAGAGTTTAGATAGAGTTTTAGACCGAGTTTAGACCGTGTTTAGACCGTGTTTTAGACCGAGTTTAGACCGTGTTTAGACCGAGTTTAGACCGTGTTTAGACCGTGTTTAGACCGAGTTTAGACCGTGTTTAGACCGAGTTTAGACCGAGTTTTTTAGACCGAGTTTTAGACCGAGTTTAGACCGAGTTTAGACCCGAGTTTTTAGACCGAGTTTAGACCGGGTTTAGACCGGGTTTAGACAGAGTTTAGATAGAGTTTAGACCGAGTTTAGACCGAGTTTAGACCGAGTTTAGACCGTGTTTAGACCGAGTTTAGACCGAGTTTAGACCGAGTTTAGACCGGGTTTAGACTGGGTTTAGACTGAGTTTAGACTGAGTTTAGACTGAGTTTAGACTGTGTTTAGACCGTGTTTAGAACGAGTTTAGACCGTGTTTAGACCGAGTTTAGACTGAGTTTAGACTGAGTTTAGACTGAGTTTAGATTGAGTTTAGACTGGGTTTAGACTGAGTTTAGACTGAGTTTAGACTGAGTTTAGACTGAGTTTAGACTGAGTTTAGACTGGTTTAGACTGAGTTCAGACTGAGTTTTAGACTGAGTTTCAGACTGAGTTCAGACTGAGTTTAGATTGAGTTTAGACTGAGTTTAGACTGAGTTTAGACTGGGTTTAGACTGGGTTTAGACTGAGTTTAGACCGGGTTTAGACCGGGTTTAGACCGGGTTTAGACCGGGTTTAGTCCTGCTTGAGTCCTTGTTTAGTCCTGCTTTACTCTGGGTTCAGAACAGGGAGTGGACTGTAAACTGTTCTGGATCCCCACCTGATGATGTCACAGGGTGGGACAGTGGTGTCATGCTGTTTTGTCTAAACCACAAGATAAATGCTCTCTCTCTCTCTCTCTCTCTCTCTCTCTCTGTCTCTCTCTCTCTCTCTCTCTCTCTCTCTCTCTCTCTCTCTCTCTCTCTCTCTCTGTCTCTCTCTCTCTCTCTCTCTCTGTCTCTCTCTCTCTCTCTCTCTGTCTCTGTCTCTCTCTCTCTCTCTTCATCTCTCTTTCTCTCTCTCTCTGTCTCTCTCTCCATCTCTCTGTCTCTGTCTCTCTCTCTCTGCTTCTCTCCTTTTTCTTTTCTCTACTTGCTTTTTCTTCATCTTTCTCTCTTTCCTCTCCTCTTTCCTTCTCTCTCTTCCTTTTCTCTCTCTCTCTCCAGCTCTCTTTCTCTCCTCTCTTTCACTCCTCCTTTCTCTCTCTTTTGTTTAGTTTCTCTCTCTTTCTTCCTCCTTTTCCCCTCCTTCCCTCTAGAACCAAACCAGGACTAAACCAGGACTAAACCAGGACTGAACCAGGACTAAACCAGGACTAAACCAGGACTAAACCAGGACTAAACCAGGTCTAAACCAGGACTGAACCCGGTCTAAACCCGGTTGTGTTTTGTTCAGATGAAGACTCTTCGGAGGACGTCCCGATCATCGCTGTGATGGTCGCTCTGTCCTCGCTCCTCGTCATCATCTTCATCATCATCATCCTCTACATGCTCAGGTGTGTGACAGGTCCCCTCCCCCTGTGTGTGACAGGTCCCCTCCCCGTGTGTGTCAGGTGCCCTCCCCGTGTGTGTCATGTGCCCTCCTCGTGTGTGTCAGGGCCCTTGTGTGTGTCAGGTGCCCTCCTCATGTGTGTCAGGTGCCTCCGTGTATGTGTCAGGTGCCCTCTTGTGTGTGTCAGGTGCCCTCCTCGTGTGTGTCAGGTGCCTCCTCATGTGTGTCAGGTGCCTCCTCATGTGTGTCAGGTGCCTCCATGTATGTGTCAGGTGCCCTCTTGTGTTGTGTCAGGTGCCCTCCTCGTGTGTGTCAGGTGCCCTCCTCATGTGTGTCAGGTGCCTCCGTGTATGTGTCAGGTGCCCTCTTGTGTGTGTCAGGTGCCCTCCTCGTGTGTGTCAGGTGCCTCCTCATGTGTGTCAGGTGCCTCCATGTATGTGTCAGGTGCCCTCTTGTGTGTGTCAGGTCCCCTCCCTGTGTGTCAGGTGCCCTCCCTCCCTGTGTGTGTCAGGTGCCCTCCCTCCCTGTGTGTGTCAGGTGCCCTCCCTCCCTGTGTGTGTCAGGTGCCCTCCCTCCCTGTGTGTGTCAGGTGCCTCCTCGTGTGTGTCAGGTGCCTCCTCGTGTGTGTCAGGTGCCTCCTCGTGTGTGTCAGGTGCCTCCTCGTGTGTGTCAGGTGCCTCCTCATGTGTGTCAGGGGCCTCTGTGTGTCTGACTCTTGTATTTTCTCGTCTGCAGGTTTAAAAAGTACAAGCAGGCGGGCAGTCACTCCAACTCCTTCAGAAAAAGTAACGGACGCTCCGAGGACACCGGTGAGTCTCCTTTATTTAAAGACACACTGTGGGACTTTTCTCCAGCGGGTCTGTCTGTTAGAAAGAGTTCAGTCGTCATATTTATTAGTTTTAATGTTTGTTTCTGTCTTAAAAAGATAAAAAGAACAGAATCAGTTCACTTGCAGTCGTCCAGAGTTCTGTGTGGTTGCTATGGTTACATTAAGGTTGCTAGGGAACATTGCGGTCGCTAGGGAACATTGTGGTCACTATGGAACATTGTGGTTGCTAGGGAACATTGTGGTCGCTAGGGAACGTTGTAGTTTCTATGGAACATTGTGGTTGCTATGGAACACTGTGGTCACTAGGGAACATCGTGGCTGCTAGGTTACATAATTCTTGCTAGGGAACATTGTGGTCGCTAGGGAACATTGTGGTTGCTATGGAACATTGTGGTCACTATGGAACATTGTGGTCACTATGGAACATTGTGGTCGCTAGGGAACATTGTGGTCGTTAGGGAACATTGTAGTTTCTAGGGAATATTGTGGTTGCTATGGTTACGTTATGGTTGCTTGTTTACATTACAGTTGCTAGGTAAAAGTTCTGGAGTCACACGAGGAAGTGACGTCATAATTAAACTTAAAGGTGAACTGTGTAACTTTGCAGGTGAGGGTCCACCACTTATATCAGTATTAATTTTTTGCCTGGAATGTTCCACAGTACAGCATTAAGCTCCTTTTTCCGTGGAGACGAATGTGTGATGTTAAAGAGCCGAGTTACACGTCACCTCGTGTGTGTCAGGTCCCCTCCCTCCCCCCGTGTGTGTCAGGTCCCTCCCCGTGTGTGTGTCAGGTCCCTCCCCCCGTGTGTGTGTCAGGTGCCCTCCCCCCATGTGTGTCAGGTGCCCTCCCTCCTCATGTGTGTCAGGTCCCCTCCCTCCCCCCGTGTGTGTGTCAGGTGCCCTTCCTCCCTGTGTGTGTCAGGTCCCTCCCCGTGTGTGTGTCAGGTCCCTCCCCGTGTGTGTCATGTCCCTCCTCGTGTGTGTCAGGTCCCTCCCTCGTGTGTGTGTCAGGTCCCTCCTCGTGTGTGTCAGGTCCCTCCCCTCGTGTGTGTCAGGTCCCTCCTCGTGTGTGTCAGGTCCCTCCCCTCGTGTGTGTCAGGTCCCTCCTCGTGTTGTGTCAGGTCCCTCCCCTCGTGTGTGTCAGGTCCCTCCCCGTGTGTGTCAGGTGCGTGTGTGTCACCCTCGTGTGTGTCAGGTCCCTCCTCGTGTGTGTCAGGTCCCTCCTCGTGTGTGTCAGGTCTCCTCCTCGTGTGTGTCAGGTCCCTCCCCTCGTGTGTGTCAGGTCCCTCCCCTCGTGTGTGTCAGGTCCCTCCCGTGTGTGTCAGGTCCCTCCCTCGTGTGTGTCAGGTCCTCCCCTGTGTGTGTCAGGTCCCTCCTCGTGTGTGTTCAGGTCCCTCCTCCTCGTGTGTGTCAGGTCCCTCCTCGTGTGTGTCAGGTCCCTCCTCGTGTGTGTCAGGTCCCTCCTTCCTTCTTCTCTGTTAATGCCACGTTCTAAAATGAATCTACATCGTTTCCTTGGAGACGAGCAGTTGGGGGACGCTCGTGTGAAAGTTCCGCAGTGCAGCTTTAACAGTGTGTGCGTTCGCTCTTTCACTCTGTAAATAAATCCTCTCAATCTTATCGTCCGAGTGTTTGAGAGTCGCTCTGGACGTTTGTTTTGGACGATTCCCAAACGCGACGCCGCGCGAGCCAAACTCCTCCGATCTCCCCCTGACATGTTCCACGGTGCGGCTTTAAACCTTTCTGTCTCCGTGGAAACCAAACCAGACCAAGGACCGGGTCAGGTCCGTGGAGAGGCGACGCCGCTCGGTCACACAGTGTTTGGTTTTTTTTCCGAGGTGTTTCTTTGACTGTTTAAAGTCGCGCTGCGGAACATTCCAGACAGAACAGCGACGTCTCCATAGAAACAAGGAGGCGACGGACCCTCCAACAGAAAAGTTACGCACAGCAACAAATATAAAAGCAATTTGTGAAGAAACGTAAAAAAAAAAAGTGTTTAAAATGAAACTGAAGTAGAAAAAAGTTTGTCACAATTTACACAAGAAACACTTTTATTTTCTGACACTTGAAAATTGATTTCAGCAAAATAAAACTGTTTTCTTATATTTTTATTTGACATTAGAGGAGATTTTCTGGTAACAGTTATAAAATTCTTTCTTATTTATTTCTTCGTAAAGGGACAAAACATTTTAATAAATGTTTAAAATATAAATATGTAAAGATCAGAGCAGCACGGCCTGGTTTAGTCCTGGTTTAGTCCTGGTTTAGTCCTGGTTTAGACCTGGTTTAGACCTGGTTTAGTCCTGGTTTAGACCTGGTTTAGTCCTGGTTTAGTCCTGGTTTTAGTCCTGGTTTAGTCCTGGTTTAGTCCTGGTTTAGTCCTGGTTTAGTCCTGGTTTAGACCTGGTTTAGACCTGGTTTACCTGGTTTAGTCCTGGTTTAGTCCTGGTTTAGTCCTGGTTTAGACCTGGTTTAGACCTGGTTTAGACCTGGTTTTAGACCTGGTTAGACCTGGTTTAGACCTGGTTTTAGTCCTGGTTTAGTCCTGGTTTAGACCTGGTTTAGTCCTGGTTTAGACTGGTTTAGTCTGGTTTAGACCTGGTTTAGACCTGGTTTAGTCCTGGTTTAGTCCTGGTTTAGACCTGGTTTAGACCTGGTTTAGTCCTGGTTTACCTGGTTTAGTCCTGGTTTAGTCCTGGTTTAGTCCTGGTTTAGACCTGTTTAGTCCTGGTTTTAGACCTGGTTTAGTCCCTGGTTTAGACCTGGTTTAGACCTGGTTTAGTCCTGGTTTAGTCCTGGTTTAGACCTGTTTAGTCCTGGTTTAGACCTGGTTGGTTTAGACCTGGTTTACCTGGTTTAGTCCTGGTTTAGTCCTGGTTTAGACCTGGTTTTAGTCCTGGTTTAGTCCTGGTTTAGACCTGGTTTAGTCCTGGTTTAGACCTGGTTTAGTCCTGGTTTAGACCTGGTTTTAGACCTGGTTTAGACCTGGTTTAGTCCTGGTTTAGTCCTGGTTTAGACCTGGTTTAGACCTGGTTTAGACCTGGTTTTAGACCTGGTTTAGTCCTGGTTTAGACCTGGTTTAGTCCTGGTTTAGACCTGGTTTAGTCCTGGTTTAGTTCCTGGTTTAGACCTGGTTAGTCCTGGTTTAGTCCTGGTTTAGTCCTGGTTTAGACCTGGTTTAGACCTGGTTTAGTCCTGGTTTACCTGGACCTGGTTTAGACCTGGTTTAGTCCTGGTTTAGACCTGGTTTAGACCTGGTTTAGACCTGGTTTAGTCCTGGTTTAGACCTGACTGGTTTAGACCTGGTTTAGACCTGGTTTAGTCCTGGTTTAGTCCTGGTTTAGACCTGGTTTAGACCTGGTTTAGACCTGGTTTAGTCCTGGTTTAGTCCTGGTTTAGACCTGGTTTAGTCCTGGTTTAGTCCTGGTTTAGACCTGGTTTAGACCTGGTTTAGTCCTGGTTTAGTCCTGGTTTAGACCTGGTTTAGACCTGGTTTACCTGGTTTAGACCTGGTTTAGACCTGGTTTAGACCTGGTTTAGTCCTGGTTTAGTCCTGGTTTAGACCTGGTTTAGTCCTGGTTTAGACCTGGTTTAGACCTGGTTTAGACCTGGTTTAGACCTGGTTTAGACCTGGTTTAGTCCTGGTTTAGTCCTGGTTTAGACCTGGTTTAGTCCACGGGGTCAGGGGTCAGACACAGGGAGTTGAGGGCAGATTTAAAACCAGTGAATGTTCCGCAGTGTTGCATGAGCTCATTCGTGTGTTGTGTTGTGTTGTGTTTCCAGAGCTGCAGAGTGTGCCGCTATTGGCCCGTTCGCCGAGCACAAACAGGAAGTACCCGCCCCTTCCTGTCGACAAACTGGAGGAGGAAATGAACCGACGCATGGCCGACGACAACAAGCTCTTCAGAGAGGAGTTTAACGTGTGTGAAAATATCAAATAAAACTACACACAAATAATATAAATATATAAAACAACGAGCTCTTCATATAAACTATATAAAAATAATATAAAACTAATGTAATTATATAAAAGTACTTGAGAGAGTTTATCAAGTGTTTGGGAAATAAACGAGGAGCTGAGTTTAGACTGTGTCTGTTCAGATCAGAGAAATGTGTGTATGTGTGTGTGTGTGTGTGTGTGTGTGTGTGTGTGTGTGTGTGTATGTGTATATTGTGTGTGTTGTGTGCATGTACTTTTTCATATATTTATATTTTTCTCTTTCACACTGGTGTGTCCAGGCCCTCCCTGTGTGTCCGATCCAGGCGTCGTGTGACGCTGCGTCAAAAGAGGAAAATAAAGAGAAGAACAGATACGTGAACATCCTCCCCTGTGAGTACTGCACTACTACACTACTCTGTGTACTTTATATACTGTGTACTTTTACACACACCTCCTCATTGTCCTTCTGTCCCTGTCTGTCTGCTCCTGTCTGCTCCTGTCAGATGACCACTCCAGGGTGCACCTGTCTCTGTTGGAGGGCGTCCCCGACTCAGACTTCATCAACGCCTCCTTCATCAACGTAAGAGCCGAACAAAACTGAACCTGTAATAAACGTTTAATAAATGTTTAATAAATGTGTATTTAAGGTGTAATAAACATGTTACAAACATCATTCATACACATACATCATCAGAATAACAAACGTGTAATAAATGTTTAATAAACATGTATTTAACCTGTAATGAACCTGTATTTAAGGTCTATTACAATAGTACCAATTAACATGTAATTAACATGTAATAAACGTGTAATAAACGTGTAATAACATGTTCTCTCGTGTCGTGTGTTTCAGGGTTATCAGGAGAAGAACAAGTTCATCGCAGCTCAAGGTAAAAGAGTTGAAGAGTTTTTCAGACACTTTTTATGTTCAGAACGTCTGTTGGATTAAAGTACTCGAGTATTTAAATACTTTGTTCAAATACTTTGTTCAAATACTTTGTTCAAATACTTTGTGGTGTTTTTGTGTCAGGGCCGAAGGAGGAGACAGTGAACGATTTCTGGAGAATGATCTGGGAACAAAACACAGCGACGATCGTCATGGTGACCAACCTGAAAGAAAGAAAAGAGGTGAGAGGGAGAGAGGGAGGGGGTCATGTGACCCAGCTGACAGAGTCGTGTGTTTGTTGTAGAGACAGTGTAAGTATCAGTACTGGTTATACTAGTACTATAGTACTAGTGTAGTAATACGCGTATTTCTTAATATTTCCTTCAGTGTAAGCATGTGCAGTACTGGCTGTAGTAGTAGTAGTAGTAGTAGTTAACGGTTTGTGTACTTGTGTTTCAGTGTAAGTGTGCGCAGTACTGGCTGTAGTAGTAGTAGTAGTAGTAGTAGTAGTAGTATAATGGGTGTGTACTTGTGTTTCAGTGTAAGTGTGCGCAGTACTGGCTGTAGTAGTAGTAGTAGTAGTAGTAGTAGTATAATGGTTGTGTACTTGTGTTTCAGTGTAAGTGTGCGCAGTACTGGCCGGACCAGGGCTGTTGGACGTACGGCAGCATCAGAGTCTCTGTGGAGGACACCACTGTGTTAGTGGATTACACAGTACGCAAGTTCTGTATACAACAGGTACTACACAGTACTACACAGTACTACACACTACTACACTCTACTGCACACTACTGCACAGTACTACACTCTACTGCACACTACTACACAGTACTACACAGTACTGCACACTACTGCACAGTACTATTTCACTGTAGCACACAGTACTACAGTAGTAGTAGTACACAGTGTCAGTGGTCACACCTGAAGACCTAAAGTGCTTAACAACAAGAACCACCAAGTGTCTTGCCCAAGGACACAACAACAGGATTCATGTGTTGGAGCTGGAGTCACAGAGTGAGAGTTTGTCGCCCCCTGGTGTCTGTCCAGCTCCAGATCAGGAGACAGAAAACACCAGAGTGTGAGTCCAGCCAATCAGAGAAGAGACGGACATCCTGTGTTTTCAACGATTCTTGAGGTCAGACGCGTCAAACTCATTTTGTTCCGGGGGTCGTGTCCAACCGACTTTGATCCAAAGTGTCCAGATCAGAAAACTCATGTCATATAAACCCCAAAAATAAGAATAAGTTCAAATATTTGTGCAGAGAAACACAAATCTATTACAGAAATATTTTTGAATTGATAAACTTTTTCTTTTACAAAATATTATAATATTATGAACAACATGAGACTTTAAGAAAAATACAATTTCAACACAAAGTTTTAACATGAACATATTTGTAAACAGGAATAAGTCCATTTTTGTTGTAAAATCCTGCACTCGGCTCCACTTTTCTCATGTTGGACATTTTTCTGATGAGGGTGTCACGGTCAACAGTCAAAACGATCGTCCTTTAAGAGCGTTTGGAAAGAGACAAGTCTTCATTTGTGCTGCTCTGGTGGGAGGGGCCACGTACAGAGACGCTGGAGACGCTGCTGTGATAAACACCACAGAAAATTAACAAGATTTTAATAGAAAATATCATTCCAATATTTTAGTAGAAAATCAGCCGAGGGACAGATTAAAGGTCTTGGAGGGCCGGATCTGGCCCCCGGGCCGTATGTTTGACACCTGTGATCTAGATCGAGGATTTAAAGTCAGAACAAAGAGAATGTTTGGTGAATTTTATCAAGAGGAAAGACGTTATTGTTCTTCTTCCTACAGGATTTGGGAAAAGTTAAGTTTACCAGTTAAACCTGTTAGTGAAGCATTACACACGTCACGACCAAACAGCAGCGATTGGTTAAATTTAAAAAAGTCCCCGCCTCCCGTCGAGCCAACGAATCCAAACGCTGCGAGGCCACACGGTTTGTCCGAAGTGAAACCGACTCATGAATCAGACTCAGAATCACACCACCAACCTTCACCTGACAAACACTCGACCAACTCCAGATACTCACAACACCACCTGATGTTTCTCCTCAGGAGGGAGACGTTTCAGGTGTTGTTGTTGTTGTTGTTTGTTTTCAGGTGGGAGATGTTTCAGGTGTTGTTGTTGTTGTTTACTCTTGTTGTTGTTGTTTGTTTTCAGGTGGGAGACGTTTCAGGTGGTGTTGTTGTTGTTTACTCTTGTTGTTGTTGTTTGTTTTCAGGTGGGAGACGTTTCAGGTGTTGTTGTTGTTGTTTACTCTTGTTGTTGTTGTTTGTTTTCAGGTGGGAGATGTTTCAGGGAAGAAGCCTCAGCGGCTCTTGACTCAGTTCCACTTCACGTCGTGGCCGGACTTCGGGGTTCCCTTCACCCCCATCGGGATGCTCAAGTTCCTCAAGAAAGTCAAGAACTGTAACCCCCCGTACGCCGGGCCCATCGTGGTCCACTGCAGGTACTACACCCCCTACAGGTCCACCTCAGGTCCACCTCAGGTCCTCCTCAGGTCCACCTCAGGTCCACCTCAGGTCCTCTGCCCCTACAGGTCACCTCAGGTCCACCTCAGGTCCACCTCAGGTCCACCTCAGGTCCTCCTGCCCCTACAGGTCCACCTCAGGTCCACCTCAGGTCCTCCTGCCCCTACAGGTCCACCTCAGGTCCACCTCAGGTCCACCTCAGGTCCACCTCAGGTCCACCTCAGGTCCTCCTCAGGTCCTCCTATTGGAAACGATCTGCATCCACACACATCGTTTTCCATCGGATTAGTGTGAACGAACCCTGTACACACAACAACACTCATATACACACTAGTGTGAACGAACCCTGTACACACAACAACACTCATATACACACTAGTGTGAACGAACCCTGTACACACAACAACACTCATATACACACTAGTGTGAACGAACCCTGTACACACAACAACACTCATATACACACTAGTGTGAACGAACCCTGTACACACAAAACACTCATATACACACTAGTGTGAACGAACCCTGTACACACAACAACACTCATATACACACTAGTGTGAACGAACCCTGTACACACAACAAACACTCATATACACACTAGTGTGAACGAACCCTGTACACACAACAACACTCATATACACACTAGTGTGAACGAACCCTGTACACACAACAACACTCATAT